TTAACTAAGAGCTTCATAACCGGAGGCAGTGTTTCATCAGCTGAAACGTTTTCAGATGTATGCAGCTCTTCTTTAAAACGTAGAATTTTCTCCACCCATATTTCCTCGAGAGGTTTTGTCTTTTCCCCTGCCACCACTGTAATTAAGAACACGTTCTCGAGGATTTGCCTGGTTAAATGGCAGTTACATTGACTCAGTGCATGCAGTCCACCTTGTGGTACAAATTTGCATGTTATGAAATACTTTTATATTCTCTCTCCTATGAGTTTGTGTGTGCCGGAGAAAATTAAATATATCACAGAAGATTCAATAGTAATGTGAAATATAGTTCTCTGTCATGATTTTGGAGTAACAGAAGACAAGAGTACTGAGGCATTGTTGTATTTGAGAACAACTTTTTTTTTTACTGGCAAATATAAAAGACAGACATGTAGATGCTGAATCGGCTTCCTGTAGCTAATAAAAGTCTCCTCCTATGGGCATGTTTCCACATCTATGTGGCCTTCCTCTGTTACTTGGGTATGACTCCTTTTTTAGAGCCTTCTAGGTGCCATAATATGGAATCAGACTGGCACATGGAAACCAAAAGATGTTGACCATTACAGTTGGGAACAATACTATTTATGTGACATGACCCCTGTCTGACTTGTTAGGATGCTTATTCGAGCACAAAGATAATATTCATCTCATTGACAGGCTTTTGTTCAGTTAATTCAGACACAGACACGGAGCATTCTGGATATGTTGAATAGATGTATTGGTGTCTGCCTGGTTATGTGGCATTTTAAAAGTCTGAACGAGGTTTATATTGGAATATCGATTCTTTTAATATGGTGCTGCAGGTTTATTCAACCAGCGAAACACTTATCAGCTAAGCTATAGTGTCATCCTTACACCATCACGGAGCATCACGGCGAATCCTGTGTCCTATTTTCTCATGCTTTGGGGTTGGACATTTCCGACAGCCGGTGAAGGCAGCACAGAGAAAGCGCCGCTCCTCCGCTCCAGCCAGTATCGCTCCACTCCGAGGTGTGCACGCGGAGGAGAGGGTTTCTTTTTGTACAAGTTTTCTTCTGGAAATACCGTCCTGTGACTGGAGGGAATGGGGAATTGACCATACTCGGGCTTCCAGCGGGAATGAAAACTGTGAGGAAGATAGCGGTGATCGTTTTTTTCCCTCCAGAGGAGAAACAGTAAGTGACAGACTGAAAGGGCTCGTGCGCCTTGCTGTCCCGGGGGAGTCTTTTTTTGTTTAGTGTTAACCCAACTAACTGTGATCACGGCCACTGGCGCGCTCTCCTCGAGGCCGGGGACTCGCTCAATGATATCCTCCAAATACTTAGTGTCTGACGTGTATGAGTGTGTCCGGTTAAGCTGCGATGAGGAGGGAATTTAACAGCGGTGAAGCTCCAGACGTAGACGGCGAGAGCTAAGCTCCCCTCGCCAGCCAGTCAGCGGTGGTCAGGGACCGCAGACCACAACCACAAAACCAGGTACTTTTAGTACATTCATGCTACATGCTCGCACTACGTGCTTTGCTCGCCTTTTTACCCCTCTAGATAACGTTATTTAGAGCCGCAGTGCTGATGAGACGGTGGCGATGGTGGTGTCTGAAGGGGGGATTCGGGCACAGCGCGAATAATGTCTCGCCAGCTAAGCGAGGCTTGCGTGGAGTTGCTAAGTCCCCCTAGTTGTACAAATTATATTGAAAATCTAGTTGGAAAAAGGGGCAGATTAACAGCGCTTTGCTTTAATTGTGTGCTCCACGCTCAGGATGTTAAGAACAAGAGAATTTCGGGTGTATTTGTGATATTTTGTTCTGTTCGGCTCTACAATTTCCGAACTTAAAAAGAGTTAATCACTTTCACCGGTATGAGAGTTGGATTAAACACAGACTGTGTGGCGTTTTCTGAACCAGGTGATGCCGCATTCACCTGGACCTGTGTCTGTTTGTGTATGCTAACATTAAACTGCTCTTTTTTTTTTGTATAGAGATATATCTGATATTTCACGTTTACTACCGTACAGTACTGCAGTTCATTGCAATCTCTTTTTGGGTGTTTTATTGCCCGTACAAATGCACTGCTTCTATCAGTAAGAAGGAGTTGGCCCTGTTTCTTTGCATTTGGTATTCTCTTTTAAAATGATTTCGTTTCAAATGTTGAATCTTAAATTAGATGTCATCCATATGGGAGTGTCTGAAAGCTTCCTATTCCCTCACATGTTATTTGATCCACAGTTCCCATGGTCTTCTGATGCTTCATGCCTTGTATTAGATTACAGTTTAATCAGACATGTATTGAAGCCTTCGCTTTTTTTTAAAATCAGGCAAACCAATTTAAAACACAGAGGACTGTACACATAACATCATCTCATTCATCACAGCTGTACATCGCTGCCACATTCAGGAACTAAATGCCTTGCTGAAGGGCACTTGGAGTTAAGTTTCTGGGGAAGATTTTGTTTTGTAATTGTCTCCCTTGTGCAACATTTCTCAGTTTGCATGGATGATTAGTGGGAGCAGCATGCCTGTGAAACCTATCACGTTTGAGCCTGCACCGTGATTGGGCTGGAACAGTTTACAAGCTATGGTTTGTTAAGTATTTTGCTGTCAGGGTCACGGTTCAGTGCAGCGAGAAAACATGACTGCAGCAGTTCCATTCCCCCCCCCCCTCGGTGTGTATTTATGAGAACAAACACTGAGTTCTTAAATACATTTCGGTGACGACTGGCATTTCCAGCATGTCGGTGCTTGATGTCTTTTCTGGTCTAACCCTTTGCTCTAGTTCAGTATCTTTTATATCAAGAAATAACCCCACTTGTCTCACGGTGGCTCCTTACATTTTTGCAACTTTACCCTCAGCTGCAGTCAATTTCCTTTTACTGCAGGAGCAGCTGACCAAATAAACCCATTGTAAGGTTGACTAACCTTTTTCTTTATTATATACATGTTCTGTTCAATTCATTTTTAAAAAATCTAGTAATGTAAAGACCCTGCAATAATACAAAGAAAATGACAACAACCAGGTGACCCTCTATAAGCAAACACTTGGCGACAGTGTTGGGACATGTAGCTGTGATAAAATAATGTTAATTGTTGGGAACAAACTTGTGTTTAACAGAAATATGAGACATAGATAGAATTAGTTCCATCTATGTTATGAAAGAATAGAAAAGGTTCGTGATGATGAGTAGTGCTGCATCTCGACAGTCATTTGGTTAGAACAGAATTAGACATGTTAGTTAGGTTGATGCAGAGTGTAGGAGGAGTAGCTGTAGTTTTTGTTTTTTAAATATAGAATATCATTGGTTATTGATACTTGGGATGCAGCGAACAGGATTTATGAAGGACTTGTATTTTTACATTAAAGAATTGCCCTGTTGTGCAGCTATCCTTATGACTCTGCGTTATTGCACCTGCTCTGTGTTCTACATTGTAATCAGTCCAGTTCTGGCCTCCTAAAATATCCTGTCCTCCTAAAACACATTTGAATTTCAGTGGCCAGTTTTTACCTGGACAATTGAAGGATATATAAAAGTCACTTGGCTGAAAAATGTTTGCCGATTCTAACAGAAATATTCTTGCTAGCTCAAAATGAGTTATGCGTGACAGATTATAGGCTAACAAGTAATTTGCAACAGTTTAAATGCAAACAATCATTTATTTTTTGTTTTTTTGGCAAATACTGGAAATCAGTTTTTGGCACATCATCTGACAGCAGTACACATCAGAATATTAGGAGTAGGAAATGTTAATGGAAACTTAAGCAACAGTGTTTCCAAACACGAACTGGACACAGTTGAAGGCTCAAAAACACGAGCGCATTGGTGAAACGACGGGTCTGAGAAATTTGTCAGGGTGGAGATATTTTTGGCTATTTAAAGTCCAACAAAGAAGCAGGGAAGCATTCACTGCAAACACTATGAAAAGGATGTTTCCACGACAGCAGTAATACTAAAAATCATTTTTTAAAATCATTTGAAGTGTTGCCATCATCAACAGTGCATATTTAACCGTTCATCTGCAAAACGCAAGACTTTAATGTCCCAGACTCTTTCTCTGTACGACAAAAAAATGAACAGACAGTGACGTCACAAATTGCGTTATTGTAAAAGACACCAGGCCAGAAAGATAAGTTGCCTGATTAAAGTAACCAACTTGTTACGAACTCCCTGGTCATGAACCTTTCCCTCAGCCAACTCTTTTCCAGCAGTACAAAGTGTAGAGAGATGGCTGAATAGCTGTGTCGTACTTCGGTTTTGTGGTCAAGTCGCACATCTGATCCAAATATGACTCTCGCTGCCCTTTCATTGAGACAGCACTGCTCTTCTTGTGGCTTAAAAAAAAAAAAAGACAGATCTGTTCCTTTATCTTGTGGCATAAGTGGACCATAACTAAAGAAGTTTAGTATAGATTTTTTTTTGTACTTCTATTTTATTTATTTACAACTGACAACAAAAAAGACAACCCTGCATCACTTTCTTCTTTCATCACGTCACAGGACTGTTGTTAACTGAACCCAGTAGGAAGCGGTGTTACTTTTGTTTGCTGCACCCTTTAAAAGATAAATGTTATAATTATTGAGCTGTGACTGTGCAAAAACGACTCTAGAAGAGTTAAAGAATAACAATATGGAGCTGGAAATTAACATATTAAGTCTGGTTTTATAGAATAGTTCTGGATCAGTTTAGTGAGCCTGCACAGGTATTCAGCGTTAAGACAACAGTTTTAATATCCAATAGCGATTGGCTGAAATGTACACACAGTGTGGAAACAGAGTGGACAGAGGCTTGCTTGTAACTTAGGCATGCAAAACTCACCATGCAATGAGTCTGGTGTCATTCTTTTGCAATAAAGTGCAGCTGTCAAAAAGCATGGGTGGATGCATAGTTTTCATGTCATAGGGTCATTATGACACGGCAGAAGTGGGATAATCATAGTAAATCATGTCATCATTTGTGAGTAATTTAGGGTTAAAGATTTGGGTTTTGCTCTATTCAATGAATTGTTTTACTTCACTTTTGGAATGATAGCTGTGATATTGAGATTTGGAACAGGATTCCTGTACAGCAATGTTATCATTGTAGCTTGAATAAGTGTTGTGTTCACAGCTGACAGGATTAAAGCCAGATTCAAGCTCATGAGAAAATCTACAGCCATACCCCCAAAAAAGGAAGAGATCATATGTTACTCATCAAATGACTCTTAGGTTTTATTCAGACAAAGCTATCTATAGACTCCATGAATATACCACAGTTATTTCTGTGTAACCCTCTTCAAGTGAAGCTCTTCCACTCTGGGATGCGTTTTTCTTGGTTATTACTGCAAACGGTCTCATTTCAGTTTGGTGTCACAGGGAGTTGTTTGTTGATGAATTCCTAAGCTTTTTATCAGGCCGTATTAGGATGAGGAGGGGTTGGATTAGTCCTTTGTGAAATGGTGAAATGTCAGGCTTCAGAACTGTTTCGGCTTTGTGTCATTTTTTATAACAAGACTGTTCACATGACCAAGATGAAATACTAGATAAGTAATTGCTCTCCAAACCAAACATGACTTGGAACTGTGGTGTTTCAGTTAGTTTCTGTTTTAAATAAGATCTTAATGAAACTGTGTCGTCAGCTTTTTTTTATTTACTGCGTGTTTGTTGGTGAAGCACTCTGTTATGTCACACCAGGTATCATGGTGGGTGAGATGGCTGTACCAGCCATTTTACAGGTGGATTGTCAGACTATCCCAAATATCTTCAATCAAATTCTTATAGCGCTGTGCAGTATGACGTAGCACTTGTATCATGATTTTTTTTTAAGGTTCTATTAGGAGTAAATAAAAATAAATTCAGTGTCTTTTATGTACCGTATTTTCTGCACTATAAGGCGCATTTAAAATCCTTTAATTTTCTCAAAAATCGACGGTGCACCTTATAATCTTCCTTATAAGCCTTATGTTTGTATTCTGGTTGTGCTAACTGACCTCGAACCGATTTTATGTGCTACACGGCGCTCAAGAATCTGTCAAAAATGTTTTAGTACGACTTTGGTAAGCTACGAAGCCGCACCGCTTGATGGATTGTTGGAGCATTACGACTACCATAGACAGGAGCCTCACGGACTCGGAGTAATCTGGGTCCTACACTCCGCCCACTTCATGTCCCAAAAACAAACAAACACTGCAGCATCACTGAGAGTTAAAAACTGTCTAAATTCTTTCATATTTAATAAAATGACCAGCTTTGCTGCTTTGCCAGGTGTAACGATTACGTTTAACATCCAGGCATCCATGAAAACAGAATTTAGTAAATTTAACGGAGTTAGAAGTTAGCAGGAAGTTAGCTCGCTAGCTTCCACCTAAACATGATATAGCATGTTCTGACTGAGAGATTTCTGAAAAAATTCAAACATACAGCTCTGCTATCACTCCCAACATAAATGAAGACAGAAAACTAAACAGCAGTGACGTTTGTAGAGTTACTGAAGTTGGGCTAGCTGGTATATA